TTTCTTTTTCTTTTCTTTTCTTTTTTTTTTTTTTTTTTTTAGATTTTTCGTAAAATATCATCGATACGTTCAGAGCCAAAATTGTCTTCTACCCTCTGTAAAATTCATCCACGTCCATAATACGTTCGTCTTCCTTCCATCTAAGTTTGATTTCGCCTCGATCAAACCGTTTCGGTTTCCTCTTCTCTCTTCCTCTCCAGCCTTTTCGATATCTTCGTCCTCCCTTTCGTTCTTCGTCTTCCTCCATTCTCCGGCCATCCGTCTCGTGTCTCCCCCTCCCCTCTCTCTCTCTCTCTCTTCTCCATCTCATGGAGCGCTATTTCGTTCTTATTCAGCGATTTTATTTCTTTCTCCCGCGTCGAGCTCTCCTTTATCCACCCCCTCCACCTCTTGTCGCCCATTCTCCTCCCTCCTCCCGTTGCTCTTTTTCCGCTCTTCTCTCCCCATCCGGCACGTCAACTCCAGCAGGTTCACCGTCCATTCATGCCTCCACCGAGACGCCGTCTCTCCTCGCCCTCACTCTTTCATCCTACCTTCCTACGATCCTGACCTTCTTTCCTCCTCCTCCTCCTCCTCCTCTTCTTCTTCTTCTTCTTCTTCTTCCATGATTCTTCCTCGCCGATCCGCCACGATCCTTATCGCCCCCTCGGTCGAGCCTCTTCTCTTCCACGTTCCATCTTTCATCAGTCCTCGTTTTCTCTCGGTCCCTCGATACGCTACGATCCCTCTCGAGCTCCGTTTCGATAACTGTACCAAGAACCGGCCGACATATGTATGCTACTCTAGTATCGTAGTACTAAGATAAAATGTGAATGGAGTATATGCGAGTTACGTGGATTACGAAACTTATAAATGGAAAATGATGGTTGGATTAGCTTATTGGTAGTGTATTGATACTAGCATGCGGTAAGTAGTATCGAGGAGTCACCATGCGAACGTGACGTATTTCGTTACGTTCATCGATTACGAAGTTTATAATGGAAAACAACGGATAAGAATCATCGTTCATTGATCTCGCATTGTAACGATATGTATACATTATGACTATATTCGTAAATATAGTGGATTCCAAAAATAATTATCCAGCCATAATCGAATACCTATTTTATATTTTATGAAAATTTGAATTATTGAAAACACTTGGAAAATGTTCGAAAAAAACTTTACCATCCTTCCAATCTTATTACTTTTTTCTCCTCCAAATTCGATCCACGGATTCGATATGCTAAGAAAAAAAAGAAAAAAGAGAAAGATGAAAAGATGCGGTCCGGATTGAAAAGAAAGTGTGCGCTTTCTTCTGTTTCAGCGGGATGCTAGAGGCGTGGGCAGTTATCTGGGAGGCGGCAGCATTAGCGACGGTGGCGGCATGTTGACGGGTATGGCGAAGTTGATGAAACAAGAGCTGGCCTCTGACGCCGAGGAAGAGGGCCTGGTCCCTGCCCTCTCCGGCAGGTTCACCTCGATGCGGAAAGTGCCCTCTCTCTCCGACCTATCCGATCCAGAGAGCTCCTTGGGTGAGTTTTTCTTTTCGATCCGCTTTTCCCTCCGCGCGAGAAATCGCTTGATAAAAATCGTCCGATCTATCGTTGTATCGTCGGTAAATTCGATCAATGTCAACGTGCCTCTTGGATTTCGATCGATGCGCACTTCTCTTTTCTTAAAACCGAAGTTTTTGCAATTGGTTCGAGTATTTTATAATACTTTTTTGTGCAAAGCTTGTTCCAATATTTGCATCGAAGCGTGCATTTCGCTACTATTAACGAGAGCAAAAGTTTCGTAAAAGGAAGGTGTTTAACAGAGATTTTTGTTCGTGGAACGATTATGCGCATTTGTGGACGTTGGATTGGATACAAAAGAATATTTCTTGCTATTTAAGTAAGGTTTCCTTAACGCACACTGTGTGGGTAGATAAGTTTACGCAGCCTCGCTATTTGAAAGGATATAATCGAGGGTCTTCCGCTCGGCTTGAAACGTTTGCAAGTATCACTAGAGATCTTTCAGCTAATAATAGAAATTCTATAAGAAGGCCGCGAACTAATCAAGGGTTAACCGAGTACTTCCACTTTGCGATATTCAATTTGCGTTTTATTCGATTAACGAAGGCCTAATACCGCTACCGATATCGATCGACACATCCGTGATTTCCAGTTCCGTTTCTCGGTTTAACTCGTCGCCTTCCATTCTTGTTCGATAACCTAGTTTCAAAAATATTTTAGCGACGCGTGTTCGGATGCATTTCGACGAAATTAAATCGATATTACCTGTTTCCCGTAATATATACGACCGCGTTGTCAAAACGATATTAAAACGCAATCGAGGGGGAATATTGCCTAAGATTGAACCTCGTATCGAGAAAATCATAATACATACGAAAAATTGGTATACTTTTGAAATTGAATATTACCGAACGAAAGAAAACCGTGCATTCGAAATTTATCTCATCGGCCGAAAATAAAATAACCGAAACGGATGAAATACGCCTTCGAAATCGATACTTGTTTAGGCGATCCAAGTCGGATAAATTCCGAGTTATCGTTATCTCGCCATTTTCTCACCAATTATCTCACGCGCGCACACACACACACACGCACTGTTTTCACAGAAGACGATCGAGAATACCGTTGTGTGTATAGATCGGCCGATCGAACGATCCGCCCGGATCGTAGCTATGCAATTTGCGTGGAGGGGTATCGGGTGTTGGCGTGAGAAAGTGACACGTTCACGCGTGGTGTTTACCCGCCCGGTCTAGTAATCGTCGTCAGGCAAATGTTTCAATTAGCCGTGTACGCGGCCATTGTAGTTTTAACGCGCCACAAGATACCTATTGTGAGCCGGGGGGGAGAGAAAAGGGGAAGGGAAGCAGCGTTTCGTGGCTCCCTTGTGTGACGTTAATTCACCGCGCGTTTCAGCAGGCTGTGGGGGGACGTTGAATTTCCCCGCGGTCTCGCAGGCATATTCATCGGGCATCTTTACAGTTAACGCACGCTGTTATATGTGCCACGAACGCGTAACAGGTTTCCGGGCGGGGAAATAACGTAATCGTAATCGTAATCCCAATCTTCTAATTATCCTCCCCCTTTCCCTTTTACGTCTCTCTCATGGGCGAAGAATATTTCTTCCTTCATTCTCTATTATTATTCTTTCTTGTTGTTGCCCTTCTTGCATTATTTTGGATTTTATTTCGTTACGCTGAGGGATGAAAGGGATATCGATGGATCTTTTTTAGAGGAGCATTTTATATCTCTAAAATTTATGCGAGGACGCTTTTTAATATCAAATCGAACGTGAGGATAAAAGTGTCGTTCAAAATGATTGGGGGGGGGGGGGAAGAATCTGGGTTGGGAAAAGTGTTTAATCTCTAGATGAAAACACATTCTAGATCAACGTGTGCCACACGGACGTTGACGTTGCGATAATGTTAGAAATGATTCCACGGAAATTCATCGTTTATTCATAGAACACGTTATCGTCAGTCGATCGGAGAAAGATGGGCAGAGAAGAAGCTCGGTTATTTCTTCTTCCTCTCCACGTATTCCACGCTCTTTTATCAAACGTTTCGATCGCGAAATCGCGCCTAGTCAACGGAAACTCGTTGACTCGTTCCGCCTCGAGGATGTAAAAATGGCTTGGAATTTTGTTTACCACCTCGAGGGCCGATGATGGAAAGGGTTTATGTGGGTAGTGGAAAGAATTCTAGAATCAGCTATATTTCCGACTTGTGCCTCGGTTGGAAACACGATCGATCCAACGCCGTGGTTGTAGTGTCCTGTTAACTGTTGGATCGTGACACTAAAAGGTGCACTTACATCGAATGATGCTTGCATAATATGAGCGGTAGCTGCATAAGCACTTACTCGTGTATAACTTGTCCGATTAGATCGCGCAGACCAGCTCGCACGACGTTGCGTGTTGTGCTATTTTAAAATTTAAAACGGCCGCGAGGAAAAAAGGCGAGAGAGGGCGACCGACGATGATAGAGAGGAGGGGGATGAACGGAGTGTTTTCGCGATCGTTTTATTTCTCTCTCTCTCTTTCGAAAAAAAAAAAAAGAGAGATGTTGGTTGAGAAATAATAATATTCGTCGAAAGTATGCTCGTAAGAGAATTCTTGGAAAAGGCTTACGAGTACCGAATGCGTATATCTGTATTCCAAAGGTACGGGACAATTGATCGAGAGTGCATATAATAGTCTAAAAATATCGCGAGTCGATTTGCATACAATTTGCTCGAAGCTTCGAGGCTTCGTCGTGCCGACGTCTCGAGCAAACGAATTCCACGAACGACAGGTTGCTGCCTCTATATGGTGGTCCATAGAGAAACTTCGTCATATCAGGGTTGATTCGAGGGTAAATTCCATCCTGTTTGATCCCATCTATCTGTCGTTTCGATCGAATCCAGAGATCGGTGTGCGTGCGTGTGTGGCGCGTGTGTAGAACACTCTCCGTTGCACAAATTTCCCAATATTTCCATTATACGACCCGTAATGTTTTAATGCAACGTCTGCGAGCCGAGGAAGGAGTTCGTCTCGTCCTTGACAGTGAACACTTCGACGGTGAACAATTGCGTCAATGCGGCCGGCAAAGTGGTTAATATGCGCGATGTACACCGTTCTCTTTCCTTTAAGGAATCGGACGAAAATATCGATCGAACCTTGCCGGTTAAAAAAAGAAACGCTGAAAAGAAAATTCATCGGCCTAACGTTCGTTCATCTCACTCCTATCTATCCTCTCTTCCTTTGAAAAGACACTTTGAAAAATTCTTCTCATCGAATATCGATCGAAGGTATTTCAAGAGAGCGAAACACCTCCGAGACGATAGAAATCAAATGGAATATCGAATTTTTCCCAGAATTTTGATCAACATTTTTCGCGGAGAGAAAGAAGAGATTGGAAGGATAAAGATTGGCACGTGGAAAAACAGCGAGGAGAGGAAATCGGATGGCATAAAGCACGGAGTAATTCTTGTTACTCGCGGCTCGGCGAGCACGATCAAAATGTAGCGAGAATTTACGAATTGGATAATCAGCAGCATCCTCATTAAGGCCCCCCCACTGAACGCCCCCGCCTTCCATTCTCCTTTACGGGCGTGTGTACGTGCACAGCGTCTATGTACTCGCTCTGTCCCGCCGCTGGATCGTCGTCCACCCACTTATCTACTACTTCTCTACTCCTCGCACCGTTTAAAACACACACACACACACATATTTATACGTACAATAGAAATTTTTCACCGATTCCACGGTTTTTCATCCTTTCGTGAATCATTCTTTTAAAAACACGGTGATTCCATCAACGGAAAGCTTTTCTTCTCCGGGAAAAATCAACGGAGAGAGAGGGAGAGCTGTGCGGAGGAGGAGGATTTTTTTCGATAGAGATGGACGAGTTGAGTTTTGCCCACCGTTCACGTTTTAATCGAATTTTCGGCGAGCGAGATGTGGGCAGCGTACGATAAACTCGATCGTTAAGAGAAATAAACACCAGGGATTTCTCGAATCGAGTCGGTCCGTTTATACCGGTCGGTTCGTTGTTCCAAATCTGTAATCATTTACAACGGAGAGATAGAGAAATAGTTGTTCGGGCTCGAATCACGCGATTGAAACCGTGAACCGAGATGATGATCGATCGATTCATCGTCAGGAAAATCGCAAAGGATGGACAGGATAAAAAGTTTGGACGAGGAAATTGTTGGCGGCAAGAACAGGCGAGAAGGAACGTTAATCAAGCGCGAGATACGCGTTGAATCCGTTGCAGTGGTAATTAACGGGTTTCGCTTGCTAGTCGTTCGATCTTCTTCACTCGCTCGATTTTCTCTCTCCCCGTGGAAAATGATGCTCTCTGGAAAAAAATTTGGTATCCGAGGATCGAAGGCCAAGCTCGATTCACGCCACTGATTCCGCTTGCTCGTTAACACCAGTTTTTATTAAGCCTTTCCTAATTTTTACGAGGAGTCGATGAAAATCATAGCGTTGAAGAGGATGTTTAAAACTTGGTCGCGAATAAACTTGGAGAGAATTTAATGAAACTTAAAAACAACACTCGCGAAATTGATCAATTCGATTGATTCTCCGATTTTGATAAAAGTTTGGGTCGAAAGTTTTTCGTACTCTCTCTAAATATAATCTAGAGAATTTTTTATTACAACGGGATAAAGGTAATTAAAGATTAAACGTTTTTCCTACGAAAAAAATATCGCTCTATTTCGTAAATAAAGGTTGCAAATTTAGAGAGGCAACCTGAAAACCTCATTGATTTACGTTCATACTTTAGCTTAAAAAAAAAAAAAAATACACTTCACGAACGTTATTCTCTCTATGTACTCTCAATGAAGAAGAAATCGAAGAAAAGAGAGGAAGAAATAAAAAGTTTGATTAAAATCAGAATTACGATCGATTCATCCGCGAGAAAATTATATATAAACGTAGATTGTTTCGAAAAGATGGGGAAGAATAACGCTTCGATCGGGAAAAGGGTTATTTTATTCGAGCGCGGTTGGAAACATGGAACGAGGAGACGTTT